CGGGGGCAGCCGCGGCCCCAGTCACTCCGGGCCTCAGTGCTCGCAGAGTGCCCCTCCCGCTGGTGCCCACTCCAGGCTGCAACCGCTGAGCTCGCATAGTCTCCATCCCTGCCGCCAGCGGAGTAGCGGCCCGGAGCCTGCCAGCCTGGCGAGCTAACGGTCCCAGCCACCCCCGCCAGCTAGCGCCCAGGGACTGAAGGCGGTGCCGGAGCCCAGCCGTCAGTCAAGCGGGGGCGGGGACGAGCCAAGTCCTATGCCAATCACCAAAGGGGGGCGGGAGCTGGCGGGCTGCGGCTCAGCCGTAGACAAATTATTGAGGAGGGCGGAGGTTCTAAGCACCCAATTGCAAAGAGAGAAAGCGATAGTCTCCACCGGGGAGAAGCTTAGCTTGGGCGCCGTCTTTGGGAATACTAGAAAGCCGGCTGACCCCTGGGGCGAGGCTGGGGCGTGGGATGAAATAGGCCTGAAAGCAAGTCTAGGGAAAGTTGTACAGTGAGAGGGTACTTAGAGATCATTTGTCTGACTACTTCATCTAATAGATGTAGATGAGGAAACTGGCTCAAAGAAGTGATGTGACTTGTTCAAGATCACATGCAATTGGTGGTGGAGATAAAGCAGTGAAAGATGCTGACATTTAATGAGCCAATATTTACTATATGTCAGACACTACGCAATGTACCCAGTGCATTGTCTTATTTAATAATCACAATCACTAAGTAGATGTTATTGTTTTACAGATAAGGAAACTGATACTCAGTGAGACTAGATAAATTGCCCAAAATTAATAGTAGGAGATGGTAAGGGGGAACGGGAGGGTCAGACATAGGTCTTCTGATGTCCAATATTTTGATCTTTTTGTTATACCACATTGTTGACTAATTTTCTGATTTCACCTATTCTAGGTGGGGGGGAGTAAGAAAGAGTAGAATGGGCTGCTCCCTTACCTCCCGTTAGAGTGAGGAGGTTACAATATACGCAGAAAACCAGCAAACTGAGAGGTCCAGGGGGCAGATTAAGACAGGTACCCGTGTTCATAGAGCCTGTCAGGCTAAGGTCCTCTGATGACTCTTATGTGCGTGCACACACACACACACACACACACACACACGCTACACACCCTTTGTCAGTTGACCATATCATGCCATTTTTACCTAGGTCAGGTTATACTAACTCTTTTCTTCTCCTTCTCTCTCTCTCTCTCTCTCTCTCTCTCTCTCTCACTCACTCACTCAATTCGTCTCTCTCCACCCTACTTTGGCTCTGAAATCAAGGATGGGGAAGCCAGAAATAGAAGAAAATGGATGAAATGAACCTGGTGAGGTGAGAGTTAGAACCCTGAGGAAAAACTTTTGAGTGCTCAAGAAATAGGAAGCTTGAAAAAGAGACAGTTAATCTACTGAGATGCATCTGCTGATGATAGAGGGAAGAACTCTTCATAGGGACCTTAAAGAATTTGAGAATGGGCATAGGGGAGATTGGGGAAAATGAAAGCCTGTTAAATGCCCTAAAACCTTCAGGACACTGGACACTTGCCTTTTCTTCTACAACCACAGTTGGTCAGTTGGTTTCCAGGAAAGAAGGTGGGGTGGGATGGCTAAGTATCCCCTAGCTCATTATAGCTATAGTTAACATTACCCTCCTTCCCCGTTCCTCGTTTCCCCACACCCCACACCCCCAGGCAGAAGTAACAAAACAGAGACTTCTGAACACATTTATTCGATATGTCAAGTGGAGAGAGGAGTGATTAAGGGTTACTCCCCACTTCTACCTGCGGGGGTGTTCATAAGCTCAGACACACAGAAGAGCAGCTTAGAGCCCATGACCCACCCCCTGGGAAAATGAGACGACCTGTTGTATTGGTTGGGGAAACAGGGTGGGAATAAAAAGCAGGAAGTTGAGAAGTAAAGCTGACAGCAGGAAGGGCAGCAGCAGAATTGAGGCTAGGGGTTGCTGCTGGAAACCCCCAAGGAGAGTGAAGATATCCTGAACCGTGGTTAGGGTTGGAAACAGGGTGTGACTAAGGAGCAGGGTCTGGAGAGAGACGCAAGACCTGCAGAACAGGGTGGAGTGTGCAAAATCATGAGCAGGCTGTGTTGCAGGGCATATATGGAAAGCAAGGGGTTGCTTCTGTAGGGAGAGCAAAGAGACTGGAGACTATCCATAAGTAGGGATTCCCTACTGCTTCCGAACAAATACAAGTGAGTTTGGGACCCATTTGGGGCCCTAGCACAAGTGGCCCTGTGTGTGTGCAGTGTCTGCTGGTACCCAAGTAATCCCATATGCATGTGAAGTGACCAGAGCATGAATGCATGTGTCTATATGCCCAATAAATAAAAGTACTTACCCTTCCCTGCAAATAAGAGTAACTGTGCTTGTGGACACATTTGCCTATGTGCGCGTGCACCGTGCCCATGAGCACATGCAAGAGACCCTTATGTCCGTGGTGTGTGTGTGAGCTGGTTCTTCCCGTCTGTCCCATCAAAGTACTCCCCACCCTCCTTGGCTCCTTTCACTCCTCTCAGCGCCCTGGCTCCCCTGGCCCGCCTAGACTCTGGAAGCCCCCTAACAGGCGGATCTGCTCAGTCTGCATGGAGTGGCGCCTCACCAACTTTCTCTTGGTCCTGGGAGAGCCTGGCGCCCCCGCCTGGGGAGGGGCGGGCAGCGAAGGCGCCCGACCTCCGGGTTGGGGGCGAATGTCGGGGATGGGAGGATGGGGGCTGACGTTGAGCGGGGGCAGGAAACCTGGCCGCGTTTGCGAAATATGGTCCAGGAGCAACGTCCCTGAGCCCCTCCGCTCCAGCAGCCCAGGACTTCGCCTCCGCCCACTGAGCGGAGATACAGCCCCAGGCAGACTCTCCTGGGACTGGCGCGGGGAGGGAGCCGAGCCGGCGGGAGGGAGGGTCAGCGGGGAGGCGCTGTATCGGCGGCGTTCCAGGGATGGGCGGCTGCACTCCGGCGAGTCAGGGCAAAGATTTCCGGGGGTGTCGAGCTCCACCGGCTCCATGCGGCTCAGTTTCTGCCTCAGCCCTGAAGGGAGACCAGACTCCTGAGCTTCTGGTGCGGTGTTCCGGCGGGAGAGGGGACCCCCACCCATCACTTTCTCCGCCCACGGGGGCGGATCCTCCGGGCCTTCGGTGCTGTGACGTCTGGAAAGACGGGGCCGGCCGGTCAGGGTCAGGCCATTGAATTCGGCGGTCAGGCGCTCCATCCCCGGCCTCCCTTCCGCGGGCGGGGCCGGTTGAGGGGCCACGAGGCCCCAGGGCTCGGAGTTGAGCCTTTTTAGTGGTTTCGGAGGGTGACGGGGTGGTTTGGGGAGCGGCTCAGAAGGGGAGGGGTCATCGGGTGGCTTAGGAAGAGGGAATTCAAATACGTCCCGCTTCTCCTCTTCCTCCTGGGTTCGAGGGGATAACAATCCCCGTCCGCCTCCTGCAGCCTGCAGTTGGATTTCCGAAGGTGACGTGCAGACCCCCGGGCTAGGAGGAGCGGGAGCGGGGTCCTCCACCCCCGGGGACGGTGGGGAATTGAGATACTGCCGGGTCTTCTTGGTGCCCGAGGGCGAGGTGTCGGTGGTGATGATGATGACCTCTGTGCCCTTGGCCTTACAAGCGTCCAGCAGGGTGGCCAGGGTCTCGCGGTCCCCGCGGTCCAGGGCGTGGACAAGCGCCGAGGCGCCCGCGTGATCTCGGACTGAGGGGTCTGCGCCGTGGGCAAGGAGCAGCGAGGCTACTGCGGCGCCCCCACCCCCGGCGCAAGCGTGCATGAGCGCGGTGCGCCCTAGGCGGTCTGCGATGTTGGGGTCCGCGCCTTGTTCCAGGAGGTAGCGTACCATACGCGCCTTGTTCTGGGGGTCATCGTAACGGGCCCGACAGGCCGCCATTAGCGCAGTCTCCCCCTGGGCATCACCCTCATTCACGTAGGCGCCCCCCTCCAGAAGCAAACGGGCCAAGCGTAGCTTACCCTGACCCACAGCCCGAAGAAGAGCGTGGCCCTCGGTGTGCAGCATAGCTGCGGCTGGGGCGAGAGCACCGATGGAGCCGGGACTGGGACCTGCCGAGGAAGGCTAGGGGCGTGGGGCTGGTGGATGGCAGAGGCCTGAGGTTTCAGTAGCGAAGCCAATCCCTGCGAGAAAGAGAGAGATCTTATTGACGGAGTCAGGCAGGGAAACTGAGGCACCGGTGGAAGGACCCGGCGTGGGGCGGAGATCTTCACTGCAAGGCACACAATCCTACTAACTCATGCCTTTGGGCCGCCCCCTCCCCCCAGCGCATGCCTGAGGAGGTGGGAAGGGTGCACCCGCATTAAAGAACGAGCGCGCGTGCAAATGCGTACGTGCACGCGCAGAGATATCCGCACCCCCACCCTCACCCCACGGCTTATCAGACCTTTCCAGCATCCCCCTTTTCTTATCCGCACTTGGAATCCCCCTTTCTAGGATGCTGAACGCCACCCGCCCACGCACATGCACCCTTACATTCACACACAGATTCCCATTCCTAACCTCTTTTAGGTTGCCACAGCCCCATAAATTGAGTGGGGGGAGGGAAGCAGCTTGCATTTGGGACCTAAAACGGGTGGGGGGAGAATTGGGGGGGTTCTTTTGCCCTGCTATGTTCCCCATCACTCCTTGCTCTTCCCCTCCCAGGCTGTGCGCCCAAATAGATACCTGAATGTCCGCAGAATCTCCGCCCGGCCAGGACTGAGGCCAGGGCCACCGGACAACCAGGGTGGCGGAGCCGGGTTCCCAGGGGCCCACATGGCGTGGGGGGGGGGGCACCCGGATTCCCTTGGTGTCAGTATCTGCGCCCAGGCACAGTATCCTGGTCCCTCCTCCCGGTGCGCCCCGGGCACAGCGCCGGCTCGGGAGGAGAGAAGCTGGGGGGGGGGGGGTGAAGGGCGGAGCTCTGCCTTACTATTTATAGCCTAGTCCCTGCGGGTGGGGGCGTCGGGCACCAAACCGTTCCCCCACCCGTGCACACCGAAACCCTCTAAACCTAGAAGCTCCGATCCTCACTTCCTTTGCTTAACCGACCTTCCCCTCGGCCCCCACAAACCTAAATATTCCTCAGAAGATTCCTCCGCGACCCAGACTGGGACCATCCCAATTCTTCGTTGAGCTTCAGACCCGATTCTCCGCTCTTGGTGTGTTTATGCGCACTTGTGCGCCAGACCTGACCGACCATAGACTGCACAGGGCACACTGAAGAGGGGTGGGGAGAGGCGATTGGGATCCACAGCCAGCCGGAGTCCACAGTGCGCAGAGAGAGGCAAGAGATCTGGCTGGCTTCTCATAGTTTAAATGTCAGGGAGAGCTGGAGTCAGACACAGCAGTACATCCTCACTCCACCTCCCCCAAAACGGAAAACACAACACAGATAAACTTGGACCTCAGCTCCCTGTATAGACCTCTTAGATCAAAGTATGAGGAGGATACCTGGGGTCATTTTTGGGTACAGCAAGGGGCTTTCAGATGCTTCCTCCCCATATTCGGGGTGGGGGATAGAAAAGGGGCAGAGAAAAGAGCGAACCTTGTAATACATCCTTGCTCATTGCACCTCTTTACTTTCAGTCTCACTTAGTCTAATTATTTTTTCATCTTGCTTGAAGGTCTCTGTCCAAATCGCTCCTTAAGTCTTCACCCTTCCCTATCTGTCGCAATTCTCACTGTCTGTCTCTGCCTCTCCTTGCCACCTGCCCTGTCTCCATGGTTACCATAGCTCCATCTGCATATTTTAGGAATGAGTTTGTGTCCAGCTGGAAGGCATCAGGGGGAGTGGGGGGATGAAGAAAAAAAATCCTGAGGATTTGGAAAACTAACCTGAGAGAATGCAGAGGCTGGAGGCCAACAGGCACAAGATACTAAAAATAATGTTCCTGGAGAAGGGGGGGGGGGAAGAGAGCTATTTGCAGGGAAGCTACCCATTTTTACTAGCTACCGTTTATCGGCCACCAACAATGTGCCAAGTACTTTACATACATTATCTCCAATCCTCACAACAACGCTATACGTGAAGGAATTATCTTCTTGTTATAAGGAAACTGGGACTTGGTAAAGTTAAGCAAGTTCTCCAAAGCCTCACAGTTCTGTTTCTGTCCTGTTCCAAAGACTGGGCACGTGTCACGACACCTGTATACAGCCTTCCAAGTCCAGAACAGAGGCCTCACTCCCAGGGCCGTTTTCTCTGACATCCGGGATATTCTTCTTGATTCTTTCCCTCTGTTTCTGTTTTTGTGTAAGTAGGACTCTGTCTCCCGCCTTGCCCCCCTTTGCCAAAGGCCAGGAGGGGCTGGGCAGCAGTGGAAAGTGCAGGAAACACGGGGCTCCTGCTCTGCCTCCCCATCTCTGGTTCTGTCTGATTCCTAATCCTTCCTTCCCCAAACCAACTCTCTTCTCATTTTCTCACAGACAACAGCCCACAGGAAAAAAAGAAATGTTTCTTAAGAAGTATTCATTGGTGGTGCTAGAGGGATTGAAGGGAAGGTTGGAGAGGCCAAGCTGTGAAATCAGTCACTAAAAGACTGATCCCTACTGAGCAGGCCGCCTAGGGGTTCATTTCTCTGTGGGAGCTCTCTCAACTGAGTCCCTCGGTGAGATTTGAGTGTCAGGTTCCGTTTGTGAACTCTCTCTAGCCAGGGTCTCCTCCATCCGAGATGAACTCGAAAATAACTGACCCCTGGTTAATTCTGCAAACCCGTCTCTCTCCGTGCGAGGCTCCCTAAGCCTGGGTTCCGGCGACTCGCTTCCTCCCTCCTTCTCCTCGGCTTCAAGTGGGCGGACCTCTCTCCTCGGCTTCTCCTAGATTGGCCGGGAGAATTCACCAATGGGGAGCTCCGGGAGGCGGACCTAGAACGCCACCAGTTTGAGGAAGACAAGGAAATTTCAAGTTGGCTGCGGCTTTGGTTCCGCGTGGGGGAGGGGCAGCAGGTAAGTCTCCGACCTGGTGGCTCTGACCCGGTTCGGTCCCATATTTCCCGAACTAGTTCACCAGGGCCAAGCTGAGAGATAGATAGACAACGCTTTCTGGCAGTCTTGGATCAGCCCCCTCCTGGCTCCCTACCGTTTCTTCTCTGGGCTCCCACTGCTGCATTGATTGTATTCCAGAGAGGTGTAGTTTTCTTTTGTGCATAGGCAGGAGATATTAAAAAAGCAGAAAGTGAGGAAGACTCATTCTTGTACCTCTGACTCTGCAATGGCATCAGCTTCCCCCGAATCTGTGAACATTATTACCCTAAGAGCCTGATAGACTCCTGTTATCTATAAAGATTCAGCTGAAGAAAGATGACTGCCTTCCTACCTGTAGCTTTCCTGGGCCACCTTTTTTGCAGATTCCCCAGCCTGATGATAGCATTTTATGCATACCTGTATTAGAGCACTTTAAGTGCACGCTCCGTTTTTAATGTTCCTATTCTTAGAATACAAGGTTTTATAGGGCAGGTTCTATTGCTTAATACATAGTGCCCAGTAAAGGTTAATTGAATGGAATTGATTGGGGACGAAGAATTTAAACTCCTAGCATAATTAGGGAACAATTAATAAAAGACAGAATCAAATGCAATACAGTATATAATTAAGGTCTCTTAAATTAGTGCTTCATAGTATAATTGCTCCCACAGTCCAGAGAAGGGAGAAAGCTAGGTAGACTGGGATGGTGAGGGGAGGCTTTATGAATCACAAGGTCTCAAGTTTGGAAGAGCCCTCAGAAACCATGTATTCATTCACTCATTTAATGGATGTTAATTGAGCATCTACTATATGCCAGACACAATGCTAAACAATGGGGATCATAGTGAATCCTCTACTGTAGACATACATCCTTCTTCTGACAAACCATATTTAGTAAATTGTTATCTAGCTTCTATTTAAACGTCTTTTGTAAGATATCTCCCTATCTCACTTTGCAGGTCATTCCATTTTTGGATATTTGTCCTTCAGTTAATATCCAGCACATATTCTAAACAAATACATAGCTCAACGAAATGCATTCCACTCTTCCACTGTAGAAGAGAGACAGCTGTTCTAGTGATAGAATTCTTAAAAATAAAGAAAACCATCCCTTTTGTTTTCTGATCATAGAAGTAACATATATTTATTCTAGCAAATTCAGAAACGTAAAAATATAAATAAGAATACCTATTATTTTGTGACCATGATGCAGTGATAGCCATTATTATTTTAACATTTATCCTTTCAATTTCTTTTCTGCATATATATATGTATATATATATATATACACACACACATATGTGTGTATGTGTGTGTATATTACATAAATAGGGCCATACCATAAATACAATTTTATATCATGTTTCCCCTCACTTTATACTGTGAACATTTTTCTGCCTTTAAATATTAGTTGAAGTCATTTTTATGGCTACATAATAGTCTAAAATGGATATTTTAATCATTCATTTTCTTCTTGGACCCTTTAGATTATTTCAGATTTTTTTACTACCATGAATAGCCCTTTGATGAGCATCCTTGAATTTATATCTCTGATTATATATCTGGTGATTTCTTGAGGATAGATTTTTTTTCTTTTAAAGTAGGATTGCCTCTGACTGGCCCCTCAGGATTGATGACAAGAGGCAGAGTTCAGTTCAGTAGCAAGAGGAATTTTCAGTTCATCAGAGGTGATTACAGTGGAATGGGGAAGGCTGGACACCATCTCTTTAAGAAAATGCCACCAGAAGCTTCAATGACTAACTTGTGGAGTAGAGTACTGCATCAGGAGGGCATTTGGACTAGATAACTCTATGGGTCCTTCCAGTTCTAAGATTCTGTGCTTCTAAGTAGTATTTAAAAAGATTAATTTGATGGTATTCATTCTTCTCCCCGCTCCTGCATCCTTGTCCCCCACTGACAGCGGGACTGATAACTTATCCCTGTGTCCCCACACTGCCTGACACACTACGATTTTCATGGTAGATGCTTAATAAATGTTTTGTTGAAATGCACTGCATTAGATTGAATTGGGGCCTGGTTGGGTTTGAAAAGCCAGGGAGAGAAAGAATTCAAAAGTCATAGGTAGATGTGTGATAAACATCAACTTATCTTACAGATGTAGGGAAGTTTTATCCAAAGATCTAATAACTTTTCCCTTTGTGCTACGGTTATACTATATGGCAATGATCTATCCTGTTGGGACCATGTCTCATCCACATTTATATTTCCAGAAATACCCTCCCTGACACTATGCCTTCTCAGTCCAAATTTTTCAGGTCCAAGGGAGAAAAGATTGAGTGTCTTGTACCTCCTTGGCTTCCTATCCATTCCCCTGTACTTTTTACTTTTGTCTTTATCAGGGTCTTCTCAGTGGATCTCTGAATATCCAGGCCCCCTCCACCATGGCCAGCCGGGGTGGGGGCCGGGGTCGGGGTCGGGGTCAGTTGACCTTCAACGTGGAGGCTGTGGGCATTGGGAAGGGGGATGCTCTGCCCCCACCCACCCTGCAGCCTTCTCCACTTTTCCCGGTGAGTGTCTCCCTTCCCTTCCCCAGCCTCCCAAGTACCCCTGGTTGACTGGATATGATCCTGGGTTTCTCCTGGGCCATCCTAAAACCATCCTCATCTTGCCCCTCCGTGTCTCTATGCTCCCAACTCACATGGGATGTTTTCCAGGCCAGGAAGTGTCTACCCTTACTTCCCACACTCCCAGCTCCCCAGCTTTGCTCCCCCCATTTTCCTTTGTCCCTTTGCTGGATAGGAGCTTGGATTGAATTGTGCTAGACACTCTCCCCTGGATTTGTACTCCAGCGTTTTCTCCCTGGACTGACCACTGCTCCTGCCTCCTTAGCCCTTGGAGTTCCGCCCAGTGCCTCTGCCTTCAGGAGAGGAAGGGGAATATGTCCTGGCGCTGAAGCAAGAGCTACGAGGGGCCATGAGGCAGCTGCCCTACTTCATCAGGCCAGCTGTCCCCAAGAGAGGTCAGTTGGAATACTAGCATCATCGGGTTCTGAATGCCTTCCATGAGCAGTGGGGGCCAGAGATGCCAGAAGAGGTGCCTGAAGCTCACTGTCTAACTGGGGAGATCAGAATAATTACCCCTGCACTCGAAATGCATGACAATATCCATGGTTTGTTCTGAGTCTCACCATAGTCTTGGGACAGTAGGAGGTTAAGTATTAAGACTCCTATTTCACAGGTATACATGGGGGATGTATTATAATTTTTAACAATCTGGATATTACAGGCACCGACCAATCAGAAAGGGGACTGGCGCTGGGTCTCTGAGAAGCCCTGCTAACTAAAGTATTGCCTCTGGTTAGTGGATGGTAGAGAGGTTAGGGGAACCAGGAGAGACTGGAGAAGGGGGCACTTGGGGTAGAGGATATTTACCAACTTCTGTGGAAGTACAGTAATTCAGTGTATTTATTGACAATCGGTGCTTTCCTACCAAAGCCCTAAAAGCTGCAGCTCACGGAGAGGAAAGACTTGTCCAAGTTAGTCCCGTTAACAAGGAGACAGAAACCCTCGTTTCTTGTTCTCTAATATAATTTCCACTGTGCCACACTACCCCTCGATATAGTCATGCCTTTGGGTTAAGGGAGATAGCAAAAACACGGTAATTTGGGGTGGCAAAGGGACAGGCAGAGTATTGAAAGTCCTCACTGAAGCTGATACCCTGGGCTGTGGGCTTGGGCTGAGGTGGGGGAACAGACAATTCCTGAATATTGAGAGGGCTGGGCCTGTTCTAGGGCTTGGAAAGGATAAAACTTTGACCCTTGGCTTCTGACCCCTCAGATGTGGAGCGTTACTCAGACAAATATCAGATGTCAGGGCCGATCGACAATGCCATCGATTGGAACCCTGGTAGGTGATGGGCCCTTTCATTGACTGCCCTTCTTTCAGAGGTTTGCGATGCCTCAGGCCACAAGCCACCAGCCCATTCACGCTCCTCTGTTCCTCGCTCCACTCCATTCAGTATTTACAAACCTTAGAAGTGCTTATAAACATTCCCAAGCTCTACCTAAAAACATATTAAATAGCCCTCACTCCCTGGGAGGCATCCCAGCCACAGTTTTGTTCCAAGAAACTTTGACCCAGCCCCTTTCTTCCTCACCTTTATCCCGACCCTTATCTTTCCTTTGAAACCAGTCACCCTTCATGGAAGACCCCAGTAAGGTCTTACTGATGGATGTTTACTTTCCCACTATTCCCAGATTGGCGTCGTCTACCCCGGGAGCTAAAGATCCGAGTGCGCAAGCTACAGAAAGAGCGTGAGTGCGTCTGGAAAAGGGAGGGAGAGGGGAGGTTTCCTTCAGGAGCTGGAGAACCAAAGCCGCCTGTGGTCTTGCCGGCCCTCCCAATTCCTACTCAAACCGCCCAGTATTGTTGCTGGATGCCATGCGGCCACATGAGGGCAGCAGAGTGACATGGTCGCTGCAGGAAGGTGGGTAGAAAGCGAACAAGGAAGTTGGCTCTCTGATGTTCACTTTTTGATCCCTTCACCAGGGACCACCATTCTGCTCCCCAAGAGGCCCCCTAAGACCACAGAAGATAAGGAGGAAACAATACAGAAACTAGAGGTAAGGAGAAAATGTGCAGAGAGACCACCTGGGCCCCAGATCCATTGCCTCCGCTCTGGCCCATGTGTATCTCAGTTCCCTTCTTGAGCTGAGCCTGAGTTTGTCTTGCTGTTCATCTTCACATAAGACCCTGGAGAAGAAGGAGGAAGAAGTAACTTCAGAGGAAGATGAGGAGAAAGAAGAAGAAGAAGAGAAGGAAGAGGAGGAAGAAGAAGAGTATGATGAAGAAGAACATGAAGAGGTGAAGGGGACTTCCTTTTACCCACAATCCCCCTCTCTTGCCCTCTCGCCCTCATGAGCTCTGGGGATGTCAGCTCTGTCCATCAGGAGTGTTCTCTTCAGAGTGTTGGAGGACCAGAGGAGATAATGCTCCCAAAGGGTAGTGCCCTCCACTTTATCTGTCCCTAGGCTCTTCTCAAGAGTGAACTACTGCAGGAAGAGATTTCCAGGCTGGAATGGTGGGCGCCTGGTACACAGGGAGGAAGGAGAATGCCAAACGCATGCCTGACCTTTCTTTATTTTCGGTTTCAGGAAACAGATTATATCATGTCATATTTCGACAATGGAGAGGACTTTGGGGGTGACAGTGATGACAATATGGATGAGGCCATATACTGAAGAAGGACCCTAAACAACACGCTGGACCTTCGTATCTTTCTCGATTTAGGATACAGAGAGTAACCGTCTCTCTTACTTGGTTTTGTGGACAAGCAAATTCTTTGCTCAGAGTCCAGACAACCTGTTCGATCCGTGGACATAGAAATGGAGAAGGACGACAGACAGCTCTCTTTTCTACCCTTCGCCTCCCTCTACCCTTGTATCCCCTCTACTGTCTTGGGGAAAGGACACAGAGGACCAATGTCTTAAAGGTGTGAAATGGAAAATGAGGGTCGAAATGAGAACTGGGGTTGTTAGAGCCGAGACAGCCCCTACCCATTTTTTGTATAGTTTTTTGTGAAGATCATTGGGGGTGGGAGCAGTTAGGAGAAATAAGGCCAGTTTTATATTTTTAAATAAAATATTGTTATCTGCCTCCGTGTGCAGAGTGAGGCCTGGTGGGAGAGAGCTGGAGGAATGAAGGGGATACCTGGCTGAGCCATTCTCTCCTTCCCTGTCAGAGTCCAGTGTGACACCCTGGGGGTTCCAGCCTTCCCGTCCTCATCCTCTGCCGCTTCCCTCCCACCCCCGTGGTGGGACACATGTTCCCAATCTAGCCCTGCCCAGAACATTCAGGAAACTCATCTGCAGAAATGCACTGAGTGAGGAGCAGAGAACAGCTCACATCCTGAAGACCAGCTGGCTTCTCTGGTCCTCAGGCCATGGGGACATGATTGTATCTGTTCGCATGTGTGCACAGGGACACAGGCCTTCTCTTTCCCACACTTGACCTTGATTTTGTCCTTGTTTACAAAGAATGATTGCAGCTGTTTTTGTGGGGAGTGTCAAGAAAGCCAGGTGTGGGGAGGGAATAGGGAGGAGGTGCCGATTCTTCAGCACACTCACCTACTCCCAAGCCCTGGAGACCCCACTTTGAAAGGTGTGTCTGTGCAGAGGGAACCCCCTAAACATTCTATTCTCCACTTTTGGAAGATACTGTGTGGCTGAGTTGCAGTTTCTCTTTTGGTTCTCCCTTTCTGGAATTTAATTAGCCTTTCTCACTCCCTTCTTGTGGGGGAAGGGGATAGGCAGTGTTGCTTTACAGGAAGTAAAGAGGGTAGGGAGAAGGGGACACTTAGGGACACTCACAGCTCTAAGAGAAGATTTCTCGCCCACACAGCTCTCCCTTGGGTGAGGTCACTTCCCTAAGCTCTGATTGGCCTCTGAAGAAGCCCTAGATGAGCTGATTGGTTCCAGCCACATGACATGCAGCAGTCACGGGCTAGCTGCGTGTCCACAATAGGGACTGACTAGGAAGGCAGGCACTGATAGCTGGGAAGCTGTCAGAGCAACGCTACTAAACATGAGATGCAGGAGAAATGTCCAGAAATTCCTCAAGTATATTCAGGCAGGCAGACTGAATTCCCTACAGCATCGAGTGACAGAGGCTGGCAACCTAACGTCAGATATTTCTGATCCCATTGTAAAGAAAGAATAGCGGCTCTGACTCTTTTGAGGGAAAGCGCCTTAAAAGCCTGCTATGGTTACGGTCGTAGGTGTCCCGGTAGAAGCAGCCAAGAGAACAGAAAAAAACAGGAGTAGAGATAGAACATTCCAGAGTTATTGAGCAATTGGTGATGATTAATGTGTTTCCTTTTTTAGCTCTCTGAGGTGTTGTGAGTAAGTGTGGGGGGAGGGGAGGACAGAGGACCTGTCACTGGGGTTTCCCACAGTCCCACTAGAGCCTGTGATTACAGCTAAGGAGAAATTAATAAGAAATGTAAGTAAAAGACATTGAAAAACCTCCTTTTGCCCTTCCCTCCTACACACATAACACATCCCAGTCCTAACCTGGTTAGCAATATATCAGTGTCTATGTTGGGGTCACAGCCCAACCCTCTAAATCCCACCTACTGCCAGCCAGGGACCTTAAAAGAATGGGAACAAAGAAGATTCTAAAGGAGAGACAGCAGAGGAGGACTAGAATGCATCCCTGCCCTCCACCTGTATACACACCCATCCTTTTCCCATGAAATGGAGGAAAGGAGGACAAAGGTTACAATTACCCCTAGGGATGGGTTGTACTGCCTTAGAGACCAAGTATCGGAAAGATCACATCTTTCTTGGACTCTTTCCCGTCTGGCTCCCTGTACCTCCTGTCAGGTGACCTTGCTGAACAAAGCCAGCAACTTCCCCAGATTCCAGAGCAGTTCCAAGCACAGGCTAGACTGTTTCCATTGACCTCTCCCCCACTTTCCACGGGCTCTGTCAGGCAGGGCTGCTATGCCTCTGGAGGACCAAGTGAGAGGTTAGAGGTTGAGGCCCTGCTTACAAACATTTAGAGAGGACCCACGCGGTGCTTACTCAGCCCTGTAGTGTGTGCCTGCTGAGGCCTGCTTATGTTGAACACATTGCTCCTACGCCCACAGCCTAGGCTGCATTGGCCCCAGAGGCTCTCCGGCAGGAATCCTATCTTTCCCTACCCTAGGTTCCTAGCCTCCCGGCCCCCTCACACCTTGGGCAGGAAGCTTGAGAGTGGGGTCTGCAAATTCAAGTGCAGGGACCCAAGTAGTTTCAGAGCTGAATGGGAGATCTGGATGCAATGTGCAGTTTAGATTAGAAGATTGGGAGTGGGGACCAAAGAAAATTGGAGGGTCAAATGTCAATGGGTAGGACCCCCTTGGTTTGGTGGGGGAAAAGACAGTTATTTTCCTCGATTCATTTTTGTGGCTTTTTAACTTTGGATGGAAGGAAGGGTGGCTTGCAGAAATAGGCTGGTCAAGAACTAAGCCAAGGGGAAGGGCTGCCATCTCAGCCGGGCAAAGCGCTGGTTTACGGTCCTAGTCTCTCCACTCCATAGCTCTGTCCTCAGGAAAGTCATGTCAGGTCTCCAAGCCTCAAATGCCTCCTGTGTGAAACAGATTTTGGATTAGAATGTCCACTGGGACTCCGTCAAGCTCATGTTGCTCCACCTGCAAGAGTCCAAAAGGTTCTGAGGGCATAGGTCAGGACGTGTCCAGCTTTTGCTGAACCCCTTCCATCCCCCGGATTTCCCCACCTTATTTTCAGCTTGGGCAAGCTAAAGATAACTCCGGCATCTAGCCATCCTTTCCAAGAACCTGCTTCAGCTTGAGTAGTAGGAGGGTCAGCAATTCCATCAACTAGCAAGGAAGGAGATAGCCCCTGCAACAGAGTTCAAGGTCACGATCTGCAAGCCACGACTCAAATTAAACAGGCTACCAAGAAATTTCTGATTGAGGAATGGGGGAGCTGACAGGGCAGGTCCTGTCTATCTCCCTGCATATATCACGTCTGGCCCGAGGACAGAGGAGAGAAGTGAGTCAGACAGGAATGCTGTAGCTCAGTTAGCTAGTCTGGGCCAGACCAGTGGTAACCCCTTCTCTACTAACCTTTCCCCTAGTGAGGCTCACTTTTCCCCCAAGGTCATTTGGGATGAGAAAGCTGGAAATAAGAAGTCCTAGTTTCCTAGTATCACCTTAGAAAAGCCCAACAGGATTTAATTTGCTGTTTTGTATCCTGGAGGGAACGGAGGGAGGTTCCCCCCGAACCCTGATGGGAATCATTGGGAAGACAATCAAACAACCTTAACCGCAGGACCTGAGAGGCTAAGTGCCATCACCTTGGGAACCCAGGACTCTGGGGGAAAGAACCCAGAGATTCCTCAAACCCAGTCCTGACCAATGCAGGGTGGGGCTATGTCCCCATGACCTCTGAGTCTGGGACTATTCTCTATTCTCAAACCTCCTTCCTCCCAGATCTCAGCTGTAGGCTGGACCTCCCAAACGTGGACCCCTGCCTCTCCTTGCATCTTCCCATCCTGTGATCCCATTTCTCTTGGTTTGCTATGAACGAAAGGAGAAAATATCCCAATCCTGCCTCAGACATTGTTACACTCAGGGCGGCATGGAAAGTACTAAAATAGGAGGGAGATTAATTAGACCTGCCTTAGCCTTACCAAAAGGGGCTCACCTAAGTCTGGGACACAGATCTGGGGGATTTCCTCTCTAGGAGAGAATAGATGAAATCCCATTCGGACAGGGAAAGACGTCCTGGTACTCATCCTCCTATGCTCTGTTATGGCCAGAGATGTAGCCATCCTGGAGAGGAAATTTCCTCATGTAAGGTGGTCAGATTAACTCTTTTACCTCATTTTTCTCCAGCAGGGGTGGTAAGAGGACGTGAAACAAAGATGGGCTCAGTGGGAGAAAGGGCAAATGCTGACCAGCCCTTTTCAAGGCCCTCCTCTCCATGTCCTCAAGCCTCTCTCCTGACCCCTAGACAATCCTTCCTGTCTAACCACACTTGGCTGCTCTTGGCCTATCACCTTTTCCTTACTTGACCTGGCTCCTGTTTTGAGACTTGCTTTTCACTCTGAGCCACCACTCTAACACCTGTCCAGAGATATCAGGGATGTCCACAGACTCCTCAGGAGCTGGCCTGGGCCAGAGAGAGAACGTGCCTCTCAGACTCATCCTTAATGTCTTTGAGATTCTTTTCCTCTTCTCCACTCTCTCTCCATGTCTTTTTTCCATGTCCCTCTTCGCCCCACGTCTTTAGCATCGTGTTGCTTAACGTGGATTTTTTCCGGGTGACGTGGTAAGAAATACTTGGAGCCACAGAATACACATGGCACATCTTCTAGAACAGTGGGTCTCAACCTTCCTAATGCCGCGACCCCTTAATACAGTTCTCATGTTGTGGTGACCCCCGACCATAAAATTATTTTTGTTGCTACTCTATAACTGTAACTTTGCTACTGTTATGAATCGTAATGTAAATATCTGATATGCAGGGTGCATTCGCATTGTTACAAATTGAACATAATTAAAGCATAGTGATTAATCACAAAAACAATATGTAATTATATATTGTGAAATATTTATAATTTATGAAGTTTTGTTTTACCT